AAATTTTCACGGGGCCGTACGTGGCAACCACGCATGGCGGGGGGCTGAATTTGATAAATTGAAGTTTTAGATGAGTTGGGAACATTTCCTGAAAATTTCAGCCTCGCAGCTTTGTTGGCTCCCGAGCTAGCGATTTTCGCGCCAGGAACCCTCGGGAGGCCGTACGCGGGAACCGCGCACCCCCGGGGACTGAATTTGAAATCTTTAAGTTCTATGGGGGCGGGGAACATAACCTCAAAATTTCAGCTTTTTAGCTTTCCTGGTTCCCGAGTTAACCGCTTTCCCGCCAAAACTTTAACCCCCTCGTACGCGGGGCCTAGACGTGCTTGAAGGTTGGTATTGCGGTCCTGGGGTGGCACTTGGGTGGGGAAACCACTGGCAAAATTTCGGCGCCGGATCTTGCTTCGGTGCCGAGTTGAAATATCCGAACAGACGCACACACACACATACACACACACACACACCGGGGTCGTCACAATATGCGTTTTTGCATTTGCATATTGTGCAAAAACGCATAAAAACACAACTGCAACGAAAAGAGCAATGAAGCTGAGGATTTTTGAGCATCGCTCTGTGAAAATATCTGAAACACTGCTTCAAAACAATCGGGAGAGTGGAGCATTCTGTTATTTAAAGAAGGAAAATGAAATATTCGGTATAAGGACTGGCAAGTAAGACGGACAGCCTAGATTACGGACGGGGCACTGCTGCTCTAGAAGAATAGTTGCACTTCAACGGCAATGAGAAGATAAACAAACTGACGGTCCGTGCAATTGTGGTTGTCCTTAAAAGTTCGAGAGCGCAAGAGAGAGGTCCTGAAGCGGAGTTCCGTTCCTCTGCTGCTTACAGATGTTAATTTCTGGATTATCCCTTATCCGTTCCACATTTGCAACTAGACACAAACGCATGACCGTATCCTCTCTTGTTATGGTGTTTCACTTTTTCCGATAATATGCTAAAATATATTGCAGACAAATATACAGGAGACAAATCGACAGCAACCGCTTGCAAGCCTCAATTTTGCACAGCGTCGACCTTCCGACATTAATAACAACACTCCAAGTCCGGGTGCAAATGTGGGAATACCAACAGGCAGTCAGTGTTTGCCACAAGGAGGGCCAAGCTGTACTGGTGACGCAAGAGGCAAATGAGACTAACATTCGGAACTTGAATGCCCAAATGGGGTCTCATTCTTGTCGGCAGCAATATCTTGCTCTTTTGTAATTTTAAATATCACTTTATCGTGTTGAGGATTGCTTTTACTGTTTCAACTCCACCTCATCTCCACTTTTTGTGGTGATACTGTTCAGAAAAGCCGAACTCTTTGTGGTTTTGGTTTTCTTTTACTTCATGAATTGTTCTCACTATTACACAAATAGTATCCCGGTTGTCTAATTTTTCAAATTTTCTTTTTCTGTAAGGCACTTAGGAAATGGGATATAGCGTCTGATTTTGCACTACATGGGAAGGATGGGCAGCAAAAATGTACAGAAGGAGAAATTGCGAAATTCAGTTTAATAGAATAACTTATACACAGTTCCATTAGTTATCCACCACAACCTTATCCTGTTTCCTTCTCCCTTCCCCTTTCCTACATTTTCCAAACGGATCTGTACTTTTAGTCACAACTGCACCTTGTCTCTACTGACGTAATGTGTATTAATAATAGCAATAATAAATCACAATTTCAGTTGTTAGCTGATTTCCTCAATTATAACACCAGTGATAAAGCATGGCATCCACTTTTGGGTTAATATCCTTTTCGGCAAAAACATCGTTGTCGTGTACAATTTTAAACGGTCTTCCGACTTCTTTTACCATGTTCCTCCCATGACGGGGAGATGCTTCGCGTATTCCTCTTTGACCATATAAACAATTAGAATCTCCGTCAGACGAGCGTCGTGCAGGTAATCATTACGATCATGAGAGAACGCAAAATCCGACGGACACGACGTTGTTTGCCTTGTCAATAACCGATAAACAAAATGCATTAATGAGTAGTATTCCAGAAAAGTATGCGACCTCTTCCAGGGTAATCCCGTTACGATCACTAGATCGAGTAGCAGGTAAAACCATGACTCACAGTCATCTTTCGCACCCAGTTCTTTGCGCCGATGGCATGCAATTGAGGCAAATCGGTACCCTTGCTGAAATCGTAGTAAGATGTTCCCCGTCCAAGTGGGTGTTAATGAACTTAAATCTGCCCCATTGGTAGGCGCCGTAACCACGTACGAGGACGCCAAATTTTTTTTAGCACACGGTCAAAACTCGGTCATCTTAGAAGCTAGAGCGCTGAAATCATAGGGTGACCACTTAGACGACCTCCGAATGGGTGGCATAAACATCCAACAAGCAGTAGGTACTAAGTGAAGATGTGCAGCCCAGGTTCGAGGCGCTTGGCTTAACTGCGACCGTTGCGCGGGAACATCCTAGTAACGTACTAACAGGGGAACCCCGCATTCACAGTCAGAGCGGCCTTGCTATTCTGGTCTCTCTCAGCCTCTCGTCCCCAACTGCTCAAAAATCAAATATGACTTTTTTTTACAACACATGTAAATAATTGGCCAACGCATGGGCTGCCCGTGCGAAGATGCGTTTTTTGCATAGTTCCCCGCAGTTTTTGTTGCTACCGGCACCAGCTTTTTCGGTAAATGCTTT